GTTTTGGTACTAGAATAATATTTGCTTCCAGGAATGACTTAGGTAGGATTGCTTCCCTTTCAATTTCATTGAATAGTTTGAGGAGTGTCAGCATTAGTTCTCCTTTGTATTTCTTGTAGAATTCTGCAGTGAATCCATCTGGGCCTGGGCTGTTCTTTGTAGGTAAGGACTTAATTATATTTTCAATTTCATTAATAGAATTTGGGTTATTTATCAGTTTTACATCCTCTTGACCTTCATAGCATCATAGCTTTGGTACTTCATATGTTTCTAGGAATCTGTCTATTTCTTCTGTTATCATACATTTGAGAGTAGAGGTTTTTGAAATAGATGTTGATAATTTTCTGTATTTCTCTAGTCTGTAGTGATTTCACCTTTTTCATTTCTTATTACATGAATTTGAGCTTTTTCCCCCCCTTTTTTAATAAGGTTGGCTAGGGGCTTTTCAATTTTATTTATTCTTTCAAAGAACCAACTCTTTGATTCATTGATTCTTTGGATTGTTTTCTTAGTCTCTATAGCATTGATTTCTGCTCTAATTTTCATAATTTCCTGTCTTTTGGCTTTGGGCTTGACTTGCTCTTCTTTTTCCAGCTGTTTGAGATGTAGCATCAGGTTATTTATTTGTAATCATTCTGTTTTCCTGATGTGGGAACTCAGTGCAATAAATTTTACTCTGAGGACGGCTTTCATTACATCCCACAGATTTCGGTAAGCTGTATTTGTATTTTCATTTTCTTGTAGGTATTGTTTAATTTCTTCTTTAATTTCCCCTGTTACCCACTGATTACTCAAGAGTGTGTTATTCAGTTTCCATGTGTTTGTGGGATTTTTGCAGTATCTTTCATCATTAATTTCTAATTTCAAAGCGCTATGATCTGATAATATGCAAGGGATAATTTCAACTCTTTTGAATTCATTTAAATATGTTCTATGAGCTAATATATGGTCTATTTTAGAGATTTTTCCATGTACTGCTGAGAAGAATGTATATTCTGATGTTATATGGAACACTCTATACGTGTCTATCAAGTCCATTTGTTCACATGTGTGATTCAGTTCTGTTATTTCTTTGTTGATTTTCTGTCTGGTTGATTTGTCCCTTGGTGTCTATGGTGTGTAAAGGTCTCCTATTACAATTGTGTTACTGATAATTTGATTTTTAATTTCTGTTAATACTTGTTTTATATAACTGGGTGCTCTGGAATTTGGTGCATATATATTTAAGATAGTTATCTCTTCCTTTTGAAGTTTTCCCCTAATGAGTATGTAGTGACCTTCTTTGTCTCTTCTGATCATTATTGGTTTAAAGTTCACATTGTCTGCAAACAGAATGACTACTCCTGTTTTTTTTTTTTTTTTTTTTTTTGGGGGGGGGGCTCCTGTTGCATAAAGTATTGTTTTCCATCCTTTGACTTTCAGTCTGTGAATATCCTTCTGGGTTAGATGGGTTTCTTCTAGACAGCATATGGTTGGATTTTGTTTCTTGATCCATTCTGCCAGTCTGTTTCTTTTAATTGGTGCATTGAGACCATTTACATTAATGGTAATAACTGTTATATGTTGGTTTATTGGTAACATGTTATCTTTCTGCTGTTGCATCTTTATCTTTCTGTTCTGCTTAATTATCTGCTTTGCTTAGTGGTTTTTTCCTAAGTGTATCTAAACTGTCTTTCAATATTTTTTGCAGTTTGGTGATCATGAAGATCTTCAGCTGTTCTTTGTCCTGAAAGTATCTTATTTCACCATCGATTTTGAAGGATAGTTTTTCAGGGTACATCAGTCTAGGTTGCAAATCATTTTCCTTTAGGATCTGGAATACTTCACTCCATGCTCTTCTTGACTTTATTGTTTGTGCTGAGAAGTCTGCTGTAATTCTGATAGGTTTTCCTTTATATAAGTGATCTCCCTTTTCTATCTGACAGTTTTTAATAATCTATTCTTATGCTGAATTTCTGGGATGGTGATTATTTTATGTCTGGGTGTAGTTTTATTTTGGTTATGATTATTTGGAGTTCTATATGCTTCACTGTACCTGATGTTGGTTTCCGATTTCATACTTGGGAAATTTTCATCTACTACTTCTCTAAATATCCTCTTGACATCCTTTATATTGTAGCCTTCTTTTTCATTAATCCCTATCAATCTTATGTTGTTTTTCTTTGAGTCATATTGAAGTTGTTGAATTGTCATTTCCTGATTTTTTGTTATTTTTAAAAGATCTTTCCCTTCCTGTTCACTAGCTGCAATCTTGTCTTCAAGGTCTGAGATTCTATCTTCACTTGGATTGAGGTGGCTTCTATGGCTTTCAGTTGAATTTTTGATTCCCTGTGTATCTTTGTGTATCTGTTTTATGTATTCTGTTTGTTTCTTATATTGCTCATCTAAGCATTCTATCTTTTTGTTTAGTTCCTCCAATTTTTTAACTGTGCTTTCTTTAGATATGTTCAGCATCTCTTTCCTTTCGTTTATCATTTCTTCTTTTACCTGGGAAATTATTTCTAGTTTGAATTCCTTTAAAGCTTCCCAGAGTTGCTTGTTTATTTCAGTTGCTATTATGTCCAATATTTGAGGCATATGGCATATATTTTCTTTTATATACATCTCTCCTAAATTTTCTTGGGTTGGGCTGGAGGTTTGAGATTGTAATTTGGTCTTTTGTTTTGTCATTTTACTATATTTCTATGCTTCAAGTGTTTCAAGTGTTATTTGAAAGCTTCCTCTGGGTCTGTTGGAAATCCACTTCTATGCCCTCAATTACTGGGACTCTGGCACCCAGTTCCCCCAGGCTGCCAGGCCTCTTGAACTGGTGGTGATTGCCTGCTTGCTTAGAATTCCACAGTCCAAACAAGCTGTGCTCTGGGGAAAGTGGGCATCTGCCTGCTTGCTTAGAAGTCCACAGTTCTCCAAGCACAGCCAGAACCAGGAGGCAGATGCAGGCACCCCAGACCTGCCTAGCTGGTCCAGTGCACCCAGAAGGCTTGAGGGTCCCAAACAAGGTGGGCTTAGGGGGAAATGAACGGGGCACTTACCCCAGGTTTCCAGGCCTCTGGAATCAGTGGCGTTCACCTGCTTGCTTAGAACTCCACAGTTCTCCACTCACACAGGGAGGCGGATGCAGGTGCCCCAGAACCGCCTAGTTGTTCCAGTGTACCCAGAACGTATGAGGGTCCCAAACAAGCTGGGCTCCAGGCAAGTGGGTGCCCACCTGCTTGCCTAGAACTCTACAGTTCTCCAAGCACAGCTGGAATGGGGAGGCAGATACAGGTGCCCCAGGCCCGCCTAGCTGTTCCAGTGCACCCAGAAGGCTTGAGTGTCCCAAACAAGCTGGGCTCAGGGAAAAGTACACGGGGCACTTACCCCAGGACTCCAGGCCTCTGGAACTGGTGGCACTCGCCTGCTTGCATAGAACTCCACAGTCCTCCAAGCACACAGGGAGGTGGATGCAGGTGCCCCAGACCCGCCTAGCTGTTCCAGTGCACCCAGAAGGTGCAAGGGTCCCAAACAAGCTGGGCTCCCAGTAAAGTGGGAGCCTGCCTGCTTGCTTCAAACTCCACAGTTTTCCAAGCACAGCTGGAATGGGGAAGTGGATCCATTTTGATTTGTTTTATTGTGCAGAAAATTTTCTAATAAGGCAAGATCCCAGTTTTTGATTATTTGTAATATATCTTGTGCAACATTGTGTCTTTGTTTATGTCAATGAACATCATGTTCCTTTTCATGTATCACAAGATTGTCTTCAATAAGGAAAACAATAAAGGGATTATGCGCCACTCATAAAATGATTTTGATGTTTATTTGTGAGTTTCCTTGTGTGTGAAAATGAAGAGACTTCCAAAACAAAATTAGCTAACAGCTGTGAGATTTATGGTTTAGATTTTCCTGGGAATTGAAGATCTATAGGGTCCTATGGAAAGAATCAGTTCTACAGCTCATGTGCACTGACTCCAACAGTGTGCCCAGTTCCTGTATAAAAATTCTTCTTGGTCACTTCTACCTATCATGTATAAACTGTAGTGTCTCATCTGTTGAGGCTCAGTCAGCATAGACTATGTCTCGTATTTGGAACATTTGATGCCATGTCTAGCAGCTAGAATATCATAGTTGGAAGGTTATGTGGTTATTCTCTGTTTCTTCCTAGATCCATTCTGTGCCCTTCTCTATGTCCAGGGACACTGAAGACTACAGAGTGCATTACCATTGCCATCTTATTTCCATTTGATTTTAAATTGTGGGAGAAGGGTTACTAAGAACTATAACGGTTAGGAGTTAAGAGGGGCAAGGAAAATAATCTCTACTGTTTCATTCCTATCTGCTATTGCTTTATGTTCCTTCAAGGCCACAGTTCTTAACAGACCACATTCACTCTTAGGTTGGTGACACTGTTATTTTCCTGTCTGCTGCAGCATAGGGATGATAATTTACAGATTCATCCATTATCAATTTCTGCAGCCCTGCCCTTTCCTCTACAAATAAACTCTTCATTCAACTCTTGTCCATTCAACCTTTGAGTATAAGATGTTTCTAACTAAATTTAAACTTAACATTGTTCATACATGCCACACTAACCCATTTCTCTACTTTTCATTCACTACAATGTCTGTCATACTACAAATAATAGTAACAACTGTTTGCCATCTTTTGCAAGTACTACTGCTGATAACGATGGGCCTTTGTTCCTAAAAATAAATAATATTTATGTATTCCCCAAACATTTTTTCATGTGTTATACAAAACTTTGATTTTCTTTCCATTTGCTCTTATTATCTGGGGTGGAGGGAGTTCTTGCTTATTTTTATCAGTTGGGGAAGGTAAATTGCTTCTGACATCTGCTGATAAAAATCCGTAGAAGCCATAACTCTTAATTACATAATTTTGGATCTGCTGATTCTTAGCAAAATATTTGGTGTTAAACATTTTGGATAAAATATCTTCCTTTACCTTAACCTAATCCTGCTAATTACTAAGGTCAAAATGCATTTAACACCATGCTGAGTTACCTTGTACCATACAACTTCCGGCTCCTCATCAGACTTTTTAAAATCATCCATATCTGGACAGGAAATTTCTTTTCTTTTAGTGACTTCAGACTTTTCTAAATAGCGAATCCTACTATTGTAGCATAGGCCAGATTCATTCTCTGCAACAGTCAAGGACATTGACACCTTCATGCAGTATGTCGAGTTTCTGTAGAAACAGAGAAATAACAGAATGACTTCATTGAATGTCTACAGATTTTTTATCCTATATATATTTCAGGAATATTGACTTTTCCTTCTAGCACATTACTTAGAAATCAGAAATCACAACAGAACTGTACAAAGCATTTTTCTACTTCAATTGACAGTATGATATTAATAAAATTATAATGCAAATATCTCATTATGAGATAGGTACTGAACTACATAGGAAAAATATACACATTCAACACACTGTAAACATGCAGAAATTTTTTTCCCACTAGCATATATCATCACACTGAAAATTTGACGTAAACATTTGTGAAAAAGTTTCCACAAATATTGTAGCTGTTTCTGCTCTTCCTCTGGCTATTCGTTTACCAGCTATTCAAGGGATTGTTAAATGTTACCAAGGGTTTGTAAGCCACAATTTTCTTTAAAGAAAACCACATAAACATACAGATGAAAAGTTTTAATTTATATAACTTTTAAAGTATTTGTTAAAATGTGTGAAGGATCAAGTTTTGGGCTCCCATAAGGGAAAACAAATCTTCCAGTGATTAATCAGTTGTGATTATCTTTTTTCAACAAAAGTATTATTACAAAGGTATTTCAATGTTGAGTTTTATCATTAGAAAAATTTAGAAATTGGGCATTAATTGGTTAAAATTATACAAGAGTTCTTATGGAATAAAAAGTGTGCTGCAATCACTGTAGTTAGTGCTTTCTCAATAATGTGAGTTCAAAAGTATATCTGATTAACTACAAACCAACAAACAAAATATTTTGCAATTATTTATCAATGCTTATACTATGACTTTTCCCTGATCTGGACCAGAAGTTCTCAACTATACAGTAGACAATTAAAATGTGTGGGAAAGAGATCAGAAACAGTTTGGTAAGACTAAGAAGATCAACCATAAAACTTAGTAGTATTTAATTTACTTTATGGAAGACATTTCGGGACCATATGTATTCTAAACTTTAATGAATATGTGCTGTCAAATATATAAAGTACCAAGGGTAGCGATAAAAAACTGATTTTTGTAACCACCAAGTAATAACAGTCCTAACAGATGGAATCAGCACGGAAAACATGAATTTTCAAATGACGCCCGATAATTGGTACTATGCATACTAGTCATCAAGTTTTCATACCGTCCAAGACATCATACAAAAAACAATACAGATAGTCATGCACTTTGAAATTACAAACTAAGATAACAGAAATGAATTTTACTTAGCTTTCTAGTGAAGCTGATTACTAGCAAGCATCCTATGTCTGGGCAAATGTAAGCTCAGAAAAATGTTGATAAATCACTCCAGTTCTGAAGTTAAAATGCAGCTTTATTATACCATATAGATTGTAGGATATTGTTTTTTCTCTGCTGGGTATGGATTTCTGAAACATTAAAGGTGTAAGTTACGCTACTTGGGAACAAATTAAAGAAACTTTCACAAGTTTGTTCGGTGTTGTGCAACTTGTTTAAGATCCATGAATCTAAAGCCAATTTTAAGTAAAAGACTCAGGAAAATGGAAGGAAGTTTGGCTCAATCAGGGGCTGGGGATTTAGCTCAGCGGCATAAGCGCCTACCTTGCAAGCAGGCAGTCGTGAGTTCGAACCCTGGTACCAATAAAAAAAAAAGAAAGAAAGAAAGTTTGGCTCAATCAATTTACCTCTTCTTTACCATGTTTTAAAGACTCCTTGCCTCCATACATGATCTGACCCATCATAATACTCTTCTTCATCAATTCAAGTAGAGCCACAGCGACTATACCTTGAAAATATTAAGCCTATTCAAACCAAAGGCCTTTGTACATACTTTTGTCTCTGATCCTCTAACATTTGTCTATTGGTAAACATTACCTAATTATGGCCAATAATTTGTAATCCCTAGAATTAAAATAAATAATTGGTTTTCAAAATTAGTTGATTAAATGTGTGAGCATCAAAGAATTATGTGTTTAAGAAATTTATCATCTCTTATAGTTTTATATTAACCCCATATAATACAACTCCTACTCCTTTTTCTTTAGGTTCAGGGGTATCGTTGGTTAAATATCAAGATTATTGTATAAATATGACCTAGATCTTTTTAGATGTTCTTAGAACTGTATTCAGGGAAGTATTAGCTAAGTTTTGTGGATCAGTATATTGAGAAGGGATAAATATATTCACTATAGCCAGCAGAGAAGGAGGACTAGAGCAAGGGTAGGGTAGGCGATAAAAAATAAGTAGCCACATGTTTTAAATAGTATTCAACAGAGAAGAGAGGGAAACACCTCTGCTGGGTATCCAAAGTGTTCTAAACAAATTTTGATGTTACAGACTTTGATCATATCTAATCTACAGTACTACTTCACACAGATAAGAGATTTACTTGTGAAATATCTTCCCAATGGTATATATTAAAGCCCCATGGAAAGATAAGTGTTGGCCAGGGTAATAATAGAATGAATAGGTAGAGTATCCAATTCTCTGAAAGCTCATAATCCAAAATACAATTATCCCTGGACAGAGAATAGAGTAAAATAAATGACAAACTACTCTTGAAGTTTCTTAACAAAGCACCAACTCTCAACTAAGACCCACGGGGTTTAACTATCTTGGTGACTTTAGAGAAGTTATTTAACCTTTGTGGATCTCATTTTCCTCACATGAAAAATGACAATCAGAAGCTATTTTTGATGGTTTCACTGGTAGTAGGAGATAAGAATTTCTTTTATTATATAATTATGAGCAAAATGAGTTTATATTTTTATTTGAAATAATTGTAATACTTGAATTGCCCAGATCATCATAATTATTAAATGAAATAATATCCATGAAACAACTAATACAGTATCCGGCATATGACTGATATTCAATAAATGATAGCCAGTACTGGAATTTTTTCAGGGACAAGGTCTCACCATGTAGTTCTACATAGCTTTGAACTCACTATGTAGCTCTGACTGGCCTTGAACTCATAGCAATTATGCTGCCTCAGCCTCCCAAGTGCTGGTATTATAGACAAGTGCCACTGTGCCCAGCTTGGAATTGTTAATATTATGGGATCATTATATACTGTATATTATAAATAAATAATAATTTATATGATGTAGTAGTCACAAACAATGATTAATACATTAAAAATGACACACTGCCAACAATGGTTTAAGATAGACCACTGGGTTAAGGGTGCTACTTTACAACAAACAGTCTGAAAGATGTTGAGTTTAGTACTAAGGGTCATGCAGGTCTAAAAGAATAAAAAGATACACTGACTTAGAAACAAAAATAAATAGGCAAAAAGGATGAGAGAGACAGACAAAACAGACAGACAGGCAGATGGAGGCAGGCTAAGGCAAGCCTAGAACCTTGGTGGTCGAATGGCTAGCAAAATTCCATTAAACTTCTGGGAGCTTCTTAAACAAGTGCCTTTTATGACTGTAAAGCCCAGATCTCCAGGCAAGGTTTTCAAGCACAAGAAAAGAGTTGTTCTATGTGCCCGCTCTTTAACTCTCCCAAAGTATAAATGATATAGACCAGTAATGGTGAAGTTTTGAACTTTGAATGATACAAGCAGTTCTCTGTGGCACGCATGACACTGGTTCATCACCACTGAGATAAGCCATACCAGAAGCACTGAAATTAAATTAGGATGTCAACAGTGCAGGGAACTCACCCTAGGGTGATGGCTTAAAGGAGGAAATGTTTTAGTTCTTCCTAACCCTTCACACACACACACACAATTGGCCAATTGGCCAAAGGCATTGCATATATTCCTTGGTGCTCTATTTTCAATGACATGTTAATAACTGCTAACAAATTGCTTGTAACCTGTGAATAAACCACAATACAAAGTTGTTGATGATGACCAAGGTCCTTAGAACTGAAAGACAGTGCCTCTCTTGAGTCTTGCTGTCAGTATAGTTGACCTAGTAGAGGTGAGATCAAGGCTTCCTGACATTCTGAGTGAGACTAGGGTTGATTTTTATTAATCATGTAATCCAGCCCTGGAGCAGTTCCTCCTAAGGATTCTACAATATTTAGATTTTATTTTGAAAAATCCCCTAGGCCAGTTCTATTTAAAATGTGTCCTGCAGCTGAGACCTAAAAATGTTACTTTTCTTTCATTAGGTTCAATTAGAGCTGTGCAAGTTTGAGTAGGCAGAATGACAAGTATGCAAGACTAGAAATTGTACTTTTATTTCTCTTTCCTTTACATCCTCAGGAAGACAAGGAAAACATTAACGTTTAATGTAAGAAAAGGCCTTCACCATGATACTTGAGCAAATACTTAACATTATTCATATTTGTGATCTTTCCAAGAAGTGTCCCTCAGTATCTATAGGCCTTTGGTTTCAGGATACCTTCCCCCTCCTGTACACACAAAAATCTTCTCATGCCAACGTCTTTTTTTTTTAAGCAAAACAAAAGAAAAGATAGAAATGATATAGAATTTCAAAACAAGTAGGAAATTAACACTAGTTAATATATTGCATATTGTTATCTTAGAAGTAGTTGTGGCCAGGGGTTTAGCTCAGCAATGTAAGTGCCTGCTTGGCAAACACAAAATCGTGAGTTCAATTCCCAGTACAAAAAAAAAAAAAAAAAAAAAAAAAAAAAAGTAGTTGCTCAGGTTACAAGATTTAGGCATAAAATTGATCAAAAAATCAAACAATGAGAGCACAAACTATTGTTTTTGATGAACATACAGAGATTAGTAGTATAGTTATCTATCTTGTATATATATATATATATATATATATATATAGAGAGAGAGAGAGAGAGAGAGATATACATACATATATATGCATATATAATCTTTTTCCTTCTTCATTTTCTCCTTTCTTCTATCCCAGTTGTTCTTCCCTTTTTAGCACTTTCTTTCCCTTTCATTTTTCACAATATATATTGTACATTTTGGATCTTATTACTTTTTCAGTTTTATCTTTTATAGAAAATGGCATATTTCCATGTAACTCATACATATACACTATTTACTTTAAATCATCCCTAG